ACCACACCTGACTTTTTATATGGATATTGAGATCCAACACAGGTCCTCACGTGTGACAAGCACTTTACTGACACCTGTCTCCCTGGCCCGGAATCCTTTCGTTTTGACCTAATGTCTCCACCCACGCTTGAGAAGTATCTCCCAGGAGCACTGAACCTCTCCTTCCTCCAGCCAGGCCTCTGTTCAGATCCACAAAGCTTACCTCCTATGTTCTACGGGTTTCATGTCCCACGCCTTAGGATTTCAGCTGAGAGAAGCAAGCTTCTAGATCTGGTTACATCACAAAATAATAGAATCTTAATGATGGGAGAGATCTTATGAGGAGTGTAAATTGAAGGATGACATATTGTCCTACTCCTTAAAATAGTTTCCCCTGACTATCTTCAAGTCTACAACATGCTAGTATTAGGAAATATTGAAGTATTTGATATGAGAAAATGTATCTGAAATTGTGTAAATTTAAAGACTGAACAAGATACTATAAAAGAATATAAAGATTTCTATGTTCTATATAGTAGTATTTATGAATGTATATAAAGGGAGACCCAAGATGTCTACCCACTAGACGTAGACTGGCACAAAACAAAATGGACTTTTCTGGAGCTTAAAGCCCCTCGGAGTCAGGCTGTCGTTACACATACGTTCACCTGTTCCGGTCACATCACTGGGATTCATCAAGAGGATTCCCTCAGTAACCCAGCCGTGCTCGCACACACACATACACCTGCTGTCATGCACATGTAGACAGGGATCAGAGGAAAGCTTTGGGGAGTCATTTCTCTCCTCTCACCTTTGCTGGGGTTCCATTGAGCAAACTCAGATTGTCAGGCTTATTCACCGCCCTGTTCATCCTCTCTCTCGTGTGTACATACATGAACGTGTGTGTACATATTTTTATTCAGAGGCCAGGAGTCACTGGGTGTTAGCTTTGTTGTTATCTTGACATAAGCTAGTCACAGGGAAGAGGAAGTATCAGCAGAGGAATGGCTTCCATTACGTTGGCCTGTTGCCATGCCTGTGGAGCATTCTCTTGACTAATGATTGACATGGGAGGGTCCAGCCCACTGTGGGTGATGCCTTGCCTAGGCTGGTGGTCCTGGGTTGTGTAAAAAAGCAGGCTGAGCAAGCCCTGGGTAACAAGTCAGTAAGCAGGGCTCTTCTGTGGCCTCTGCTTCAGTTCCTGCCTTGAGTCCTTGCTGTTGATCCCTTGTGTGATAAGATTCACACAAGCCCCAAAACCCTGTCTTCCCCCAGGTTGGTTTGGGTCAGTGTTTTTATCGCAGTGACAGTGTCTTTCTTTCCTGCTTTCTGCCTGTTCCTTTGAGGCAGGGCTTTCCCTTGAACCCAGCCAGGGCTTGTGTTTTCTCAGCTGGGCTGAAATCCAGCAAGCCCCAGTGATTCCCCAGTCTCTGCCCTACTCATGAGTGCAGCAAGTGCTCCTAACCACTGAGCCATCTCTCCAGCTTTGAGTTTGGCATTGAGACAACCAGATCCCCTCTCTTCATATCCCTCCTTATCTTTTATTGAAAACCGAAGCCAACTTTACTAACACGTCCACCTTTCTAGACACTCAGAGGTGTGTGCAGACATAACCATCACCTACCACTGACTGCTGGACCTTCCGGGAGTAGGGGCCCTGACTGAAGGTGGAAGAGGCTGTGTTTCTGAAAAGAGGACCATTTGCTGGAGTAGCATTTGGGGTTAAAGTTCAAGCCCAAGTTGACCTTTGCCACTTCAGGAAGTTGATATATGTGGTAATCTTAGCACTTCTTCATAATGGCTGAATGATTTTAGATCACATGCACATGACAGCATCCGTTGGGGGATCCATACTCATCTCTCAGGAGTTCTTCCGGGATGAACTCCGAAGGTTTCAGAGAGAGAATTACAGCACAGGACTCAGGCATCTAGAGCTGGACTCATTCAGTGAAGCACTTGTCACAGAACACGAGGCCCTGCAGCACCCACACGAAAGCCAGGCACAGTGGTCTGTACCCGTGATCCCAGAGCCTGGGAGATGGGACGCAGGTGGCCCTGATGCCATTGGCCAGCCAGCCTAGCTTCCCACCACCCTGTGAGGAAGCCATGCAGCTTCAAAAAGGACACTCTCTCCTTGTTCAGGCTTCAAGTATGTGTGCCTCCGGGCCAGGGGAGGGGGCAGGCAGCTTGAAGTGGAGGCACATTTGATTAATTAAGATCATAGGTGAAAATCGTCAGTTTGCTATGGTTTGAATATGACGTGTCCCCTACAGGATCATGCCTTCGGACTCTTGGTCTCCAGCTGGTGGCACTGCTGGGGGGAGATTGTGGAGCCTTTGGAAGGTAGGGCCTCTCTAGAGGAAGCAGGTTGATGGGGGAGGGGGTCCTTGAGGGTTATATCTTTACCCCTGTGGACCTGCCTGCACACACGCACACACCACTTTGATACTTGGAGGGACAGCTTTGAAGATTCCCTTTAGGAAGTTCCTGGCATTTGAAAACATTCAGTAGAGAGTTGGTATTTTTCCTGCCTTTTACTTACGGATTTGACACGTGTATGCCACAGTACATATGTGGAGGTCGGAGAACAGCTTGTGGGAGTTGGTTCTCTTTTCCCACCACGTGGGTCTCGGGGATTGAACTCAGTCTGTCTTGACAGTAAGTACCTACACCCACTGAGCGTCTTGCTGTCCTGAGTTAACATATCAGCATGCATTTTGCAAAGTGTCTCTTTACTCGTGGCAATGGGGGGAACCTGGCTCAGTGAACAAGCTGTGACTTGATACTTCTGGGGAGAGATGACAAGACCTGAGAGATCGCAGGCCTAGCGGGCAGCCCTGGCCAGAGACCTCCCTGGACCAGCTCCTCAGAGACCAGCAAGGAGCTGGCTCTCTAGTATTGACAGCTGCTCTAATGAAGCCTGAAGGAATCTGGCCCCATCTCCTCTGAAATCTTCCCAACCTAATATTTAAGTAGTAATTCATCATCTCCTTGGTTACCTTGCTTGTTCCCAGTTCAGGGCGCTTGCCAGGAACAGGCCAAACAATGTCCATTATGTGTTTCTGTCAAGTGGGTGGGTAAAAGAAATCCCTGTTTTCATGAATAATACTAAAAGTGAATCCATCATGGACCTGAACAGACTTCTGCTGCGTGGCACCAAGGGCGTGTTTTACTTAGACCGCATTTTTTTTTTCCTTAAAATTTTTTCTTTGTTTTGAAATTGCATTTTACATTGAGTTTTTGAACTGTAATTAGGCATCCATGATAATTGCTAAGGGTGTATTAAGTCAAGCTGTGATAGTTTCAAAACAGACATATCTTAGGTAGGTCCCTGGAGAGAGCCACAAAGAGGCTTCCTCATTTAAACTGACAGAGATAATTTTGTCTGGATGTGATGAGAGAATGCGGAGAACAAGGAATTCAAGCAGGTAACAACTTGTTTGTTTTTGATGCTGCGTCGATCTAGCAGACACATGAAAAATGAGATGCAGGGGGGAGAGAGTCTAAGGCAGTGGTTGCGGCCTCTTTGGGTTCCCATATTTACATTATGATTCATAACAGTAGCCAAATTACAGTTATGAAGCAGCATGAAACAATTTTATGGTTGGGAGTCACCACAACATGAGGAACTGTATTAAAGGGTCACAGCATTAGGAAGGTTGAGAACCACTGGTCTAATATAGAGTACCTAGATAAGCTACATGGTGAGATGTGGTAATCCTAGTGATTGCCAGGCAGACACAGGGATCTCTCTCTCTCTCTCTCTCTCTCTCTCTCTCTCTCTCTCTCTCTCTCTCCTGTCTCAACAAAACAAAACAAAACAAAACAAAACAAAACAAAAAAAGGTATGCCAGGCAGTGGTGGCCAAGCCTTAATCCCAGCATTTGGAAGGAAAGGCCAGCCTGGTCTACAGAGTGAGTTCCAGGACAGCCAGAGCTGAGAAACCTTGTCTTGAAAAATACAAATCAAGGTGGATGGATGGCACCAGAGAGATGATACTAGAGAACTGGAGTTGGAACTCTAGCCTCCATGTGCGCGTGTGCACGCGCACACACACACACACACACACACACACACACACAATCATTGGCTCAAACGGCAGAGGTTGGAAGATTACTTTAGAGACCAGCCAGAACCACATAAGTGAGACCCTGTCTCAAAAACAACCCAAAAAGAAACAGACCAGGAAAAGGAGGAGAGTCTTAAGGATGCTCTGAGCTGCTGGAGGATGGCTGACACGGAGAAGTCTGGTGGGACACAAAACTACAAGGATGAGTCATGGAACAGGTTGAGTCTGAGGTGTTGATAAGGCTCCAATCAGAGATGTCAAGCCCATAGATACCTTAGAGGATGGACTGGGTCAGAAGAGGCAGGCAGTAATGGTGAAACAACCCTTCACATACAGACACAGTACGCTGGAGACCCTCCTGGAAGGCTAACTGCTCGTCCTTCCTCCTGCTCTGTGCACCTGGACCACCTTTGCCCACATCCCTCAGTCCTGTCAGTCCTTACCTGCAGTGAGTCTGTCTACAGCTCCTGGAGTGAAGGGCTGTGTTATTTATCTTAGCATCTCCAGCATCCGGGACACATTTCAGAAAAGCACTGGGTGTTCAAGTAATGGATGATGGGGCTAACAAGACGTGAGCCGACACTGGAATCTGCACAAAGTAGGTCTTAAGGGATGGCTCATTCAGTAAAGTGCTCCTTGTTTGACCACGAGGACCTGAGTTTGATCCCCATCACCCAAGTAGAAATGCTGGGCATTGTGGCATACACTTGTTATTCTCACACTGGCGGGGCAGAGACAGGAAGATCTCTTGGATTCACTGGCCAGCTAACCTGGCCTAATTTGTGAGTTCCAGGCCAAGAAGAGACCCTGTCTCAAAGGAGGTGAATGATGTGCATTCATGAGGCTGACACCCAAGGTTGTCCTCCAGCCTCTCTCTACAGGCAAACACACACATGCAAAACACCCCCTTCCCAGAAACACATACACATTAAAAAAAAAAAAGAGGCATCCATTGGAACAGCAGTTGACACCAGTCTTTAATTTTGTAGCACCCATTATTACAGTTATAAAAATCTTTCCTTATTCATAAGAAAAACAGAATCATACAGAAGATGAAAATCTAGACAGAGTTGAAAGGCTAGTACCAAGGTAAACAGATGGTATCCAGGGACGCAGGGATCTCAGAAGCTTGACCTCCTCAGACTGAAATGTCTTGTGTAAGCTCCCCAGTGGGTGCTGCAGAAGACAGTGGTCCCTGGACTGTCACACAGAGTGGAAGAGCACGGAGCACCCAGGAAGTACTGAGGTGCTTCCTCCTCATATCCCCAAGAGAGCTGACTGATTTCATCATTTCATTTCCAGCTGCATCACTGACTTCTTTAGTCCCTTCAGATCACCTGGTCACCTGGGGATCCCCTGCCAGACAGAATTCCCAGAGACACCCCCCTCCAGAGCCACAGGAAGGAAGACAGCAGGCCTTGCTCCACCAGGGTCCTTCAAGTCTAGGTCTTGGGTACCCACAGGAGCTCCATCCACCAGTGTTGAGACTTCAGTAACCATGGCACCTGGCCCAGCATCTTGGCTTTGATTCTCTCTAAATACAATAAAGACAAGACTCACCCTTCCTTGTGCATTGATAATCGAGTACCCAGGAGTCCCAGGGTGGGGTCTGAGTCCCAGGCAGCAATGAGATAGCAAATGTTTCTCAGTCACCACCCTGGGCAGAGGTGTGTGCCCTCTGAAGGTGTGTGCCTTTTGTTGTGAGCACTGCCTCAGTCTTTGGTTTTGTAGCACCCAGAGTAGAGAGTGGTTTGGCATTGCTAGGCCCACAGCATTGTTGTTTCTGTGTGTACACATGAGAACATGAAGCAGATGTCTGCTGCCGGCTCAGAGGCAGAATACCATTGGCCAGCGGGGGAAGGTGATTTGAGATACGCATGTGTGGGCGGCACTGGACACGTGGCACAGACAACAGCATCATAGCCTCATGGGAGGAAACTTTTAAAGCAGGAACAACATGATTGATTAAAAAAAAATGAAGAAAAGAAATTCTTTGCTCAAGACCAAATGAGATGTGTTTAATCTCCTAAAAAGGAGAGGATGGAAGAGAAGAGTCTGTTCTGCCTTGTTATTAATCCTGTCTTTAGAAGCTCGTCTTTTTGTAATGTAGATGGTTGAAGGCAGGTGAGCGGGGGACCACCGCATCGTGGCATCCTCCGGCTAAACTGGGAGAGAAAGGGAGCCAACAGACACAGCTGTACCTTCCGTCCCTGTGGAGACCAGTCCACCCAAGTGCCGATAGTGACTACCAGGCCACGGGACTCTCCTGCAGCCACTGTGCTGGGCACATCCTGGATTCAGGAGCCTCCAGCTCAGCCATGTCACCCCTGGAGTGTCTATGTGTGCCAAGTCACAGAGCAATCATACCCTTTCTCTTTCTGTCTTAGTAGGGCTGCGGGAAAGGCGCCTAATCAAGCCAGACTGGAAATGGAAACTGATTTAGAGTGTGTCCTCCAGCAGGGGGCAGCACTATATTAAAAAACTACTGTTCAGGATGAACCACAAGGTCTTTGGCCAGATTTCCTGTGTTACTGAGTTTTACTATTCGGGGTTACAGAAGTAGGTGGCTGTACAGGGTCTTTTAGAGGCACACGTGGGACATCCCAGCACATCTGCAGGCCCGAACTAGTTAAGACCCCACCATGCTAATATCGCATGCCCTGTTTTTGCCACAGGTGTGAGTCCCCAGAAGTGTGTAATCTGTCCCGGGGTGTACGGCTGTCCATGCGGCTCTGAGTTCTTCCCTTTCACTTGACTCTTCACTATTGCAACCACATAAAATGTACATTATATATGGCCTCATCACAGACCATTATAGACGGAAATTTTGCTTAAAGAAACATATTTCTGGAAACATAGCTAAGGGGATTTCAACATTATAATAGGAAAACAACCTTATCCCATGCAGCTTCTATCAAGTTCACCTTAACACAGGTTCCCAGGATGGAAAGCTCTTCTGGGTTAATGATGATGGAGTAGAGAAATGGCTCATCAGTTAAGAGCTCCTACTGCTCGTTAGAGGACTTCACTTCAGTTCCCAACACCCACGCCTGGCAACTCACAAGCACCTGTAAGTCCAGCTCCAGGGGATCTGACACCCCTGGTCTCCATGAACCCCTATACTCATGTGTACATACTCACACCCAGACACGTAACCAAAAATAACAAAAAAAAAAATTTAAAAAGTGACAACTAAGCTTTCAATAATCATTTAATCGGTCGGTCATAAAATGACCCCCTTCCGTCCTGCTCTCACCTCTGTGAAGTACCTCTGTGGGTATTTATGCTTCTGTAGAACTCATTGGCCATAAGTTAACTTTAAATAAGCTGAGAATACGTCAGCTGAGAATACTTCCTGGCTTTCTTTATGCAACACAGATCAAAGTCATTTTACATTTAGAGTCAGAATGAACTTGAAGAAATCGTTCAGTAAATTTTTCTTTGCTGATGCCACGCTCCTAATAATTAAAAATCCTCACAAGATAAATGCTGGGGTGACAGTCATGAACCCCACCACACGTGGCTTGCATGACAGTTTGTTTTATTTATGAAGCAGGGTCTCATATAGTCAAGGCTGGCCCCGAACTCATTCTGTAGCTGAGGATGACTTTGAACTTCTGATCCTCTGCTTCCACTTCCAGGAGTTGGAATTGCAGACATGCAGCACCACACACCAGTTTATGCAGTGCTGAAGATCAAACCCAGGGCCTTGGGCAAGCGAGGTAAGCACTCTCCCAACAGAGCTACATTCCCAGCCATAGGTTGACATTGTCTCTTAGAGATTTACTGTGTGTGTGTGTGTGTGTGTGTGTGTGTGTGTGTGTGTGTGTATGCCATGTGTGTGGGTGCCCTTGGAGGCTAAAAGAGGGTGTCAGATTCCCCAGGAGCTGGTGTCTCAGGCAGCTGTGAGCCACCCCATGTGGGTGCTGGGAATTGAACCCAGGTCCTCTGGAAGAGCAGCAAGCACTCCTAACTGCTGAACCATCCCTCCAGCCCTGCCTGACAGCTTTGATCCAACTGTAGAAAGGCAAGGTCAGCGAACACTTGCAAGCACAGCTCTGTTCTAGAGATGCAGCCTGACAAGTCCATGGAGGCTGAAGTGCTGGGGACACTTCCTGTGAAATGATGGTCCAGAGGATCAGCTGTCCCAGGCCGGTCATGAAAAATACTCACTCTTGGAGTTTGTGGTGGGGACTCAAGTTTGGCTGGCCATGGTGACACATACCCACAACCCTAACACTCAGGAGGTGAATTCAGAAGGATCATAAGTTCAAGGCCAGCCTCAGCTCAGCTACATATCAAGTTTGAGGAGAATCTGGGCTATCTGAAACTCTGATCACCATGAATCAACTTGTGGGGATTTTTATGGGCAGGATTTTTCATCTCAGTTTTTGGTTTAAAAAATCAGCACCATTAGGAAGATTTTTTACGTTTTAATCATTTTTGCCACTGTGGCCCATGGGAGGGAGTTGGAAGCCATCATTTCAGCTGCTGTGTTCCGAGTCGTAGAGATTGGCCCGAGGCTCTAGGTGGAGCAGGGGTTCTATGGAGCTGAGGACATGGACAGAGAGACGGGAGCTAGCTCATGCCCTTCCTCCCTGGCCTTCTGCCGCAGCCCCGCTTGTCCACCCGGAGTTCCTCCTCTCCCTTCTTTTCTCTGTGTGTGGGAAAGGCAGGCTCGGAGGAGGGGTACGGACGGGGGAGTAGGCTGACAAAATGGAACAGAATGGGGGTTCCCCCTCCACCAATGCCTCTGGGATGGTCACAAATTGGGCCAAAGTGACAAGTCTGCTTGGTGGAGATGGGAAGGAAGGGGCTTTCTGGGAACATCTGGCTAGACAGTGTCAATAAGACATATGTCAGCCTGGGAGCTTACTCCTTTCATCCTTTGGGGGTTCTAGGATACATTGGGAAGCTAGGGCTGACATCTCCTAATGTTCCAGCATCCTCTACCTCTGAGCCTCACCCGCCGAGTTACATTTCCTGCGAAGTGATTTCCAAAGCCCCTCTCATTCCCTACGGTTGCTTCTGCTCTAAGAAACGAGAGCAAAACCAGATGTGGTGGCCCAGCACTTGAAAGACAGAGGCAGGCAAACCAGAAATGCGAGGTCATCCTCTGCTCTGCAGCGAGTTTGAGAGTAGCTTTTAGCTTTGGCTAGGAGATTCTGCGAGACTAGCCAGAGCACACCATGGACAGGTTAATGAGAAAGCTAGGCAACCAATCACATCTGTGAAATGACAGAGCATCCCCTAGCAAGTTCTGCCCACGATGCACATAACATCTGATTTTCCCAAGAGGCTATTTCTTAAAACATCTGCAGTTAGGGGTTGGGGAGATGGGCTCAGCAGTTAAAAGTGGCTCTTGCAGAAGTCCCAGCACCCACATGGAGGCTGAAAAGCTGTAATTCCAGGTCTAGGGTACCTAGGGTGCCCTCTTCTGACCTCTGCACGCACCATGCATGCCTGTGCACGGACAAATATGCAAGCAAAACATTCATACAAATAAAATAAATCTGAAAAACACAACGTCCACATTTGATCATTAGCCGTCACTTTAAATACATCGGGCAATAAGGTGGCCATAACTGTGATACATCTGAGTGGGGAAGGTGTAGAATGTGATTACTAGTGAAACAGAAGTGATGGACAAGCCTCATGGGCTGCTTAGAGGTCACACTGGGTGAGAAGCTGACCTTACTTACCAACAACCTAAGGAAAAACGTAATTGCTATGAGAAAAAAATGGCGGCTTAGAAAATCACCTTCTTTTAAGTTCATCTTAGTATCTCTGTCCTGTGTAGTCAATGTTATCCTTCCTTTTTGTTTATTTTAATTAGGGTATATGTGTATGGCTCTGTGAGCTTGTGTGTATGTGTGCGTGTAGAAGCCAGAGAACAACCTCTGATGTCGCTCCTGGGACACTGTTTACCTTGTTTTTTTTCAACAGGATTTCTCACCAGCTTGTAGTTCACCATATAAGCTAGGCTGGTTGGCAGGGGTGCCCCAGGGATCAGCTTGTCTCGACTTTTCCAGCACTGGGATTTTGGTGAGCTCACATAAAAATAAAAACCAGCCTTGGTAATGAGGGGTTATGCCTAGTCTTATTGTATCTCGTTATGCCGTGTTTGGTTGATATCCCTAGGAGGCCTGCTCTTTCTGAAGGGAAGTGGAGGAGGAGTGGATCTGGGGGAGAGGAGATATGTGTGGAGGGGAACTGGGAGGAGCGGAAGTAGGGGAAACTGCAATTGGGGTGTAGTGTATGAGAGAAGAATAAAAAATTAAAAAAATTCCAGGAATAACAGGAGTGCTGGTGTAGCTCAGTGGTAGAGCGCAGGCTGAACATGTTCAAGGTCCTCAGTTCCATCCCTAGCACCAAAAAAAGAGGCTTGGATAACAAACAGGTGCGTGTGCACGCATGCGTGCACACGTCAGAGGTTGGCCTTAGGTATCTTCCTCAATCACTCTTCACACTGACCTTCCTTTTTGAAACAGTGGCTTTCCCAATTTGGCTACGTTGGCTGTCCAGTGAGTTCCTGGATCTGGTTCTCTAGTGCTGGGGTTACAGGCACATGCTACTATGTCTGGCTTTTACGGGGGTGCTGGTGACTGAACTCAGGTCCTCGTACTGATAAGCCAAGCGCTTTACTCATTGACCCATGTCCTCAGCCTCCCCAAATGGCATTTAGAAAGATTTGTGTGTGTGTTGTTGTTGTTGTTGCATGTATATGCAGATGCACATGCACGTGTGTGATTTGTGTGTTGTTGCATGTGTATGCAGATGCACATGTGCATGTGTGCATACAGAGTCCCAAAGCTGATGTTGACATTTTTCTTCAATTGATCTCTACATTGTGCATTGAAAAAGAGTCCCTCAGTTGATCCCATTTGACTGGCCCTAGCTAGGCAGCTTGCTCCATCTGAGGACCTCTGTCTCTCCCTTCTGAGCACTGAAATCACAGGTGCCACACATCCCCTCATTCCTATGGGTTCTGGGACCTGAACCCTGGTCCTCATGAACCCTGGTCCTCATGCTTGTGCAGTGAGCACTTTAACCACTGAGCATCTCCCCAGCCCCCAAGAGGGAATATTAAGTACTATTCTTTGTCAGTGCCATTCCCATGACACCAACCCATTCTGCTGTTCTTCAAACCAGAAATTTTGTATTTCTTTTAAAAATACTAAACCCAGTGACAGTACTAATAGCCCATAGATTACAAAAGTGTTTGAATAAAAAAGATGGCCCTTGTATCCAGGCCACATCATACAGTATCCTCTTGATCTTCTAAACCTTTTGCGACAGAAACAATAACAGTGAACAGGCCAGGGTGACTTCTCCATGCCATCTTCTGCAAGGCTGGGAATGCAAGGGTTCTGCATAGGATGACATGGACACGTCCAGAGACATCAACAGTTTGGGATCCCGCTACAATCTTTAGCAGTACCTAAGGAGAGGGTCATTTTCTTTTCATGCTGGCATGGTTCTGTCCCACCCATAGGCCTTGGCTCTAGATACGACCTACAAAATATTCTTCCCCAATTCCAGGTTCAAATATTAAATTAAAACAGATGTGCAAAAAGAAACAAATACCTGCCACCGAAACAGAACCCATCCTTCCACAAGCCACCAGCTTCAGGGACAGCCATTGCCCATTCCACATCCTCATCTGAAAAATCTCAAGAGCAGGCACATCTCCCCCCGTGACGAGTGCTGGTCCCGCAGGCAGAAAGGCCAATGCCAGAAGGGGATTCTAGAAGTGCATGGAACTGTCCGAGTGTCCCCGGTGCGGCCACTCCTCATCCACCCACCTGCGCAGGATCTTCTCCACATCAACCCTGTGGTAAAGTCGGCAGAGCTCCATCAGTTGGACCACAGTCCTCTGGCTGTTTCGGAATAAGAAGGCCAGTGTGGGGCTCTGAGGCCTCTGCTCCAGGAAGCACAGTTCGTCATAGGGCATGCCCCATTTGCTGGCAAAATTCCTCCAGTTCTTCACGGTCGGGTGACACGGGTCCAGCTTTATCCTGATCACATCTAGCAAGTCCTGATCATTGAGCAAGTCGCTGATGGTGGGGACCCGGGGTGAACAGGAGGAGCAAGAGCAGCCTTCCTTACATGGCTGGTTTTTACTGACACCTGCAGGGTGACAGAGAGGATACAGGTTAGCCAGGGGTCTGACTTACACAAGCAATGTCCCTTTTATTTTCCTACCATATTGGTGACATCATCTAAGTGTCTCTCTCACACACACAGCCTTCCTTCAAATGGTCCAGTACAGCCACTTCTTACTGCTCACATCATGTTATTATGTGTGTGTGCAAGTGTGCACAGATGTACAGTATGCGTGTGGAGACCAGAGGACAACTTTGGGTGTCAATCCTTGGGTGCCACCCCTGCCCCCTTTTGTGCAGGATCTTTCACTGGCCTGGAACCCACAGATTAGGCTAGACTGGCTGGTCAGGAAGCCTCAGAGATCTACCTGAATCTGGACCCACTGTTCAGGTTAACGATGTGCACTGCCTCTGAGGCACTGGCTTTTACTTTTAGATAGGTACACAGCAAGAACGTTACCCACCACTGAGCCTATTTTTCTTTAAAGACAGTATCTTTAAGCTCTGGCCTGGAGCTTATTAAGTAGGGTAGGCTGGCCGGCAAACCCCCAGGCATCTATCTCTTCCTCCTTAGCACCGGAGTCAGACATATGCACCATGACCACATGGCTGCTGGCAATAGAGCTCATTCTGCAAGGCAAGCAAGCGCTTTACTGACTGGGACATCTTGGAAGCCCCTACAGTGTTACTCTTTACAGGAGAAGAACGGCTGCTCAGCTGGTAGCAGCAGCAAGAGTTGATAAAGCCAACCTCCCTTTCCATCCATGCTTTTCCCTGTTCCAGCATGCATTTGGAGGGCCATTGACCAGGCTGAGGGTTCCAGGACCAACTCATGCTTGAGCACACCCCTCTACCCGACAGTTTTTTTTTTAAATTATTGTTATTGTCCTGTGTGTGCACAGGTGCTTTTGTGCCACTTCCTGTGAAGGTCAGAGAATAAACTGCAGGACTTAGTTTTCTCTTCCATCCTGTGGGGCCCGGGGATTGAACTCAGGTTGCTAGGCTTGACAGCAAGCACCTTTCTCTACTAAGCCATTTCACTGGCTTCCCTGATAGCTTTTAACATCAAACCTAGCATGTGAAGATGTTATGGTGATTGCACAACCCCTCGAGAGTTCTTGAAAAGAAAGAAAACTGGTCTGCCTGCTCCATGCGCACATCTGAAAACAAAAAGCACATCTGTCATGGCTAGTGACAGAAAGCTTACTTTTGGAATTTACAGCCTCCTTATCATTCCTCTGCTTTATCTGTTTCTTCACTCACAGAGGCTCTGTCTGAAGTGTGGCCAGCAGCCTGGGGGTGAGCAGGGAGCTGGAGGCAGGCCGAGGAGCACACCAGGTTCTAGTCTGGGCCTCACCCAAAAACTGGTTCCCACCCCAGAAGGATGGCCTTCCCCGCTTCAGTCCTCTCAGCATCCTTTCTTACCAGGAGGTTAAAAACATGAGTGGGAAGTGAAGTGGGTGGGGGAGAGGTCTCAGGAAGTCACTCACTAAAGCCCTTGGTGGGGCCACTCTGTGGACATGACCACTGAGCAGCGTCGACTACACCACGCCATCTCCAGAGTCTGAGTTTGGGTTGAAAGATCATAGGCTTGGAAAATTGTGGGGATGCGACCTTTGCTGTAAGATGACACATTACTACACATGATGTCACTGAGCAGTGACTGTGGGAAAGGAAGAAATTGAACAGAGGTGGGGTGGGGAGATTGTCTCAGCTGATAAAGTATTCACCATGTTAGCCTGCGCACCAGGTCAGCCAGGGCTACATAGCATGACTCTGTCTTAAATATAAATAAAATAGAGGCCCAGGGGGATGGCTCCGTGGCTAAAGCATTTGCCAAACAAGTACGAGGACTTAAGTTCAGACCCTCCACCCAAACCCTCTGTAAATGCTGTGTGAATGTGATAGCCCAACTGCTATTCTAGCCATAGAAGGTAGAGACAGGATCCACAGAGCAAGCTGCCTGGACAGATCACCCCGGCTCAGTGAATAAGGTGGGAACGCAACACTGGAATCCGTATGCATTGATGTATGAGAAGATTTCAAACTGCCTGTTAAAATCACAAGCTATGGCAGGCCTGGTGGCACACACCTTTAATCCCAGCACCTGGGAGGCAGAGGCAGGAGGATCTCTGTGAGTTCCAGGCCATCTTGGTCTACAGAGTGAGTTCCAGGACAGCCAGGACTACATAGAAAGACCCTGTCTAAGAAACTGAAAAGAAAATGATAAACTTTAGGTAGCGGGGTTATTTTCTATGAAACATATTTACACACACACACACACACACACACACACACACACACACACACACACACCCCGCCCCATACCTTAACTACTTCTCACATCTCATGTGATATTCTACCTGGAAGGACAAACTTTGAGATGTCTTGAGGAAGGAAGAGAGAAACTTGAGAACCAAGAAATCATCAGGCATGGGGGAGGACTAGATCATTGATCATGACCTGATACCTATCAAGTGACAGGTTAGCCCTGGGTACACAGTAGCCACTGGATGAATGACAGTTACTGTAATGACAAGGAACTAGCCCTTCCTCCAATGACACGTTCTCTCTGGAAATTAAAAAACTAGGGGCTGGCAACATGGCTCAGCAGTTAAGAGTATTCACAACCTCCTGGAACTCTAGCTCCTGGGGCACTCATGCCCTTTTCTGTCTCGGTGGGCTCTTGCATTCACATGCACATAGCCCCACCCACTGCCACACACATACACATAATTAAAGATAAAAAATAAATGATATTTAAAAAAAGAAATTAAGTATGTATTTGCCAAATAGGTGCATAAACGAGGATTCTGCTTCCCCGGGAAGGAGGTCTAAGCATGTGTTACTTTCAGCTGCATTTCAGATGTGGCAGGGAGAATTCAGGGAGGAAGGAGGAAGCCAGGAAGAACAGGCTGTGAGAAAACAGTAAAAAGACTAAAAAAAAATTGTGGGTCAATTCTAGATTTGGAAAGAGAGGAGATGATTGAAAAAATATTCAGTCCTCCACAAAAATTCACTTAGATACTTTAATAACTCTTATCCTATTTGTCACTTCTAAACGAGGGCATGGAGGTGTAGCTCAGAGGGTAGAGCCCCGTGGGTATTGAGCTTGTGCATCATGCTTGAGGCCTGGATTCAGTTCCTGGCATCGCATAAACTGGTGCACGCCTGTCAACCTCAGCACTCAGGAGGTAGAGATAGGTGGACCAAGGATAGGTATGGCGTTCTCAGCCACACAGCTAGCTCCAGACCAGCTTGCACCACGGAGACCCAGAAAGAAAAAGAAAAGTGAGCGAGCGTTACTAGGGAGAAGGCCCCCTGTGGCCAGGCAGATTGCCTGTTGCACAGGTGTGTGCTAAGCTCTGGTCTCACTCTGTGAACACAGGTAATGAATGACATTGGTCTCAAAAGTAGCTTCGAGGATTAAAGACGTCATCCATTAAAGCCTACTTCGAACACACAGTTAGCATGGCCCAGGGGACAGCTGTGGGTGCGGGACAATGGCTCTTGAGAAGCAATTGTTCCTCAACTTCATTTGAGGTGGAGCCCACTGATCCCCTCGGACCCCTGAGGGAAATCCTCCTCGCATCTGGGCCAGCCACCAAAGTCTGATTTTAATTAGTGCGGAGTGGTAGCAGGACATGGGAGTTTTCACAGCTCCCTCGGAGACTTCAGATGCACAGCTGTGATGGAAACCATGGTCTCAAGGAGTAGCCTCAGGTCAGTGGCTGTCAGCACAAGAACTGGGTAGGGTCCTGATGGTGGCCCAAATACTAAACTTGCCAATCTACCCTTCATAGACAAATGAGGGCCAGATTAGAGAAAAGCCCCTCTAAACATTTTCAGGAGGACTAGGGAAGTAACCCAGTGACAGAGCACTCGTGTAACATGCGAAGGCCCTGGGTTCCATCCCTAGTACTGCATTTGGGTGGTGGGGGCAGACTTGGATGAAGACACACCTTGCTATGTAGTTGGCTGTGCCAAGTTAGGATGGGAATTCACTCTATCTGCAGGAAGGTTATAAACAGTTCTGATAGGTTTTCCCCTCCCACAATCCCTTGCCCTCTTCTGTGTAACTCGGGCCTTTCAGAAGGGATCATAAGCAGAATGGAAGCAACCGAGAATTCACCATCAAAACACGTGCAATAGGTGAACCCCTCAGGCACTCAAAGAGATTGGGACATGTTCATGAACGATGGTGTCCCAAATGTATGTACTGACACCAGGCTCCACAGAGGTGTTTGGGTCACAGGAATAAGGAATATCCTCTGCTGTACCCAGAAAATATAACAAGGATGAAGAGTCACTGGGCAAGCTCTGTGCTTTGGTTCCCCCAAGCATATGCTATTGTTTGAAAATAAAGTACAGTTGGGCCTGGAGAGACAGCTCAATCAGTAAAGCACTCACTCTGCAAGCCCAGGCATCCAAATGTGGGCCTCAGAACTACAAAAGGAAGCCAGGCGCTGGTGGCACACACCTTTAATCCGAGCACTCAGGAGGCAGAGCCAGACGGATGTCTGTGAGTTCAAGGTCACCCTGGTCTACAGAGTGAGTTCCAGGAAAGGCACAAAGCTACACAGAGAAACCCTGTCTCAAAAAAACAAACAAACAAACAAACAAACAAAAAAGCCAGGTGTGGTAACATGCATCTGTGGTCCCAGTGCTGGGAAGGCAGAGGGAGGAGGTCCCTGGCCAACAAGCTTAGCCTTCAGGTCCTAGTGAGAGTTCGTCTCAAAAACTGAGGTACACACACACATACACACATGCACACTCACAATTATAATCAATAGGATGAAAATTAACTGCTGATTGTTGAATAGCTATAAAGCCACATGCATAACACACGTTAATGATGCACACATTCGCTGACTAACTTTCATGCGTCTGCCCAGTGCTCGCCAATGCCGGTGCCTTAGTCAATCCTTTACCTGAAAGGGGATCTCCAGTGCTGTCTACAAAGTCATTTTCTTCTCCCTAAAAAACAAAAATCCACCCTCATTAAAGTCATGGCCACAGGTAAATGACAATGTCAAGTTTTCCTCCTTAGTTAAATTTCTACCAGCTAAGTGGGAGGGCCTGACTGAAGCTCAGGGGTAGTTCCTCAGGGGTGGTGAGCTTTGAGAACTGACCTAGAATGTGGAACAAGCCCAGAACGCAGCTGCTCCAGGAGACACTGGACAGAGGTGAAGCAGACCAGGGTCCCATTTCAAACATCTGAAGGCATGTAACCATGGAAGCATGCATATAACCATGGGAGCATGCATGGAACCATGGGAGCATGCAAACATGGTTCCTGTTTCATTTTATCCTTATCACAAACTCTTTGTTTTGTTTTCGTTCTGGATTAGACCTGCCAGTCTAAGCTAAAATTCTTGTGTGTGTGTGTGTGTGATGTGTTTGTACACGCATGTGGAGGCCAGGGGTTGATGTTATTGTCTCCCACACTCCTCTACATCTTTCTTATCTTTTGAACAGTGTCTCTTACCTCTAGCTAGACTGGCTGGCCAGTGAACTCCAGAGTCTGCCTGTCTCTCTACTCTGTCCCCAGTCAGTGTCAAGGTTATAGATGTATCAACCACACCCAGCTTTTATGTGGGTGTAGGGATCTGAACTCAGGTTCAGTGCTTGCTCAGCGGGCATTTGACCTAAGCAAGGATCCATTTCCCTAGCACCCACTCCAGGCCACAATTCTTTACCTTACCTGTCTGTGTATATTTTAAATTTCATTTTTATGTGTATTTTGCATGCATGTATGACTGTGCACCACATGGGTGCCTGGTGGCTGCAAAGCTGGAAGAGGGCATCAAATGCCACAGAAATGGGGTGACAGATAGTTATGAGCCACCAGGTAGGTACAGGAAATTAAACCCAAGTTTTCTGCAAGTGCAGCCAGTACTCAACCACGGAGCCTCTCATCTCTCAAGCCTCTCTACGGATTTCTTTCAAGTTTTATTGCGGAGCAGCTAAAACCCACTGTGAGAGAGCAGTGGCAAGCCCGCGATGAGCAGACAGGCCCTGCCTGTCTGACTGGGCTTCTGTCTCTCCCTCCAGGGTCATGCTGTTTTAGGATGACAGTGGCCTTCTCTATGGTCTCCTTGGAGGGAGAAACATGTGCTGTCACGAAGGCTGCCAGGGAGGGCCAATCCCAGCCCACTTCGCCTTTGGGAACAACTGCAGCCTCTCCCATCATCCACCGTTGCCCCTCCATCCATCACAGGAGTGGGATCCGCAGTTGTGATTTTTGTCGTTCCAGACAGACATCACCTCCGCTGGCCTCCGATGTACACCAAGGTTCTGTTGGATTCACAACAGCTCCACGGGGCTTTTAATTACCAGGTGTTTGAACTTGGTTTGTAAAGAAGCACTAACTTGGCCAGGCACGGTGGCACACACCCGTAATCCTAGCACTCAGGAGGCAGAGGCAGAAGGATTACAAGTTCAAGGCCAAAGTGGCCTTTACAACAACACACTGTCTTAGGAACGACAAACTCGCTAACCCTGCTGTCATTGTGTGTAGTACACTTTAAGCATTTGCTACGTTTCTCTTAATCCTTTAAAAAGCCTTTCTCCTTGCCCTGAACTTGCCAATCCCAGTTCTCTGCAGTGTATATATGTCCACTAATCCCAAGGCTAGCTTTCCACCCATCACAGGAACATTCCTATTCTCACCAACCAGACTTTCCCCCAGGAATTGAGACAATTCTTGCTTTGGTTTTTCTGCTTTCCTGCCTTCCCTGACTCTCCAGGACAGCAACAAAGCCAGCGTGCTTGGGAGCCATGGGATTTGGGCAATGCTTTCTTCTCCCTTCTGTGTGTGTGTGTGTGTGTGTGTGTGTGTGTGTGTGTGTGTGTGTGTGTGTGTACTATAGGAAGCCCTTGAAGGGGCCTGAATGTCTCAGCACAGCCTCACACAGTCACAAGGTGGAGTCCCGAGAGCCCCACCCCCACAAGACTGCCTTGAAGGCCTGGTGGAGACCTGCCCTTTCCTATCTGCAGAGTTTCCACAGGCCTGGGCAGGCCTGCTCACTCTTACATCAACACAGTCAACTCTGCTCACTGAATCAGAAGCGTGGGCCACAAGGACAGAACAGAAACTCCAAGTCGCAGAGACAGACAGGAATATTAAAGTTTGTAGATTTTGTGGTATAGAGGTCTCTGGTAAAACACAATGTTTCCCAGAAGTCAAAACTGTGTTGCCTGGCTCATTCTGTTTGACTTATCATCAACTAGAGAATAACGGGCCAATACCAGCTGGTCAGAGTCACCCTCAGGATGTGGGCAGGGTGCACGACTCAGAATCACTGTGAAATGGTTGAAAACAGAGCAGTGGCCAGGGTGGCCGGGTATAGTGGCCCATGCCCATAGTCCCACCACTGTGAGGACCTCTAAGAGAGTTCCAGGCTAGCACCGGCTACATAGCAAGACTTTGCCTCAAAGAATAAAATGAAACAAAAGATAAGCCAGGACCTTTGCTTCCAGTCCTGATAACTGTGCCACTTTAATGTGAAATTCCCAACACTGAAATCAGAAAAGACTTAATTTGTACCTTATCTGTTTATTTTGGTCTTGTTGAAACAATGCTAATGCCTTTATTCCACAGTTGTTTACTGAGCTGTTAATGTGGAGAACTGCATGAAGGAACTCATATCCACAGGTCCAAGGACCTGGGCCCTTGACCTGAGTAAGGTACAGAAGGAGAAGAATCACAGGCGTGACCAAAAGGCCAGCCCAAAGATTTCGAGCACTCGGGGAAATACCGATGGAGTCCCCCAGGAAGAGGTCTCCATAGACTGAAAATACCAGAGGGGGGCTGGGGATACAGCTCAGTGAGGGAATGCTTGCCTAGCATGTTCAGGCCCTGGGTTCAATCCCCAGCATCACAAAAAAGTTAAACAAAACTCAAAACTGGCAGTGGTGGTTCACAGCTGTAATCCCAGTACTTGGGGAGCAGAGGCAGGAAGATTTGCTGATTGTAGACATCTGTCTAGGCTACAGTGAGAACGTAACACACACAAATACAAATTGGGTGAGGTAGTGCATACCTCTAGAACCCCAGCACTTGGGAGGTAGAGGCAGGAGGCTCAGGAGTGCAAAGCCAGCCTAGGCTACAGGAGACCTTGTCTGAGAGGGTTCTAGAGGGTGCAGGGCAAGGAAGTGGGGGGTGGGGGGATGTAGCCTGGTTGGCAGAGGGCTTGTCTAGCATGTGTGAAGCTCTGGGTTCCAACCCCAGCACACATAAACCCAGGAGCATGGGCGCATGCTTGTGATCACGGCACCTGAGAAGTAAACGCTGGAAGAGCAGAAGTTCAAGGCCAACCTGGGCTACACGAGACCCTGTCTCTGAAAGACAAACCAAACAACAAAAAACACAAATAATAATACCACACAAAAATCTATGAATAAGATAAAATACATCAGAGGTCATTTCCCAAACACAAAGATGGTTGAGACTGGTCCCGCTGAGGGTCTGGAAAGTGGACAGTTGCAGAACAAGGGCATTTGCCTAGAGCCTACAGCCGTTGACAAGAACACAGAAAAGCAGGCAATGGCTCAGCGTCACTGGGTCTTTGACAGAGGCAAGAAGAAGAGCAAGATAGCGGGAAGACGGAATGGCTGCCGCCCTCGTAAGTGCTGGACTTTATCTATAGACAGTAGGGCTCACTGCGGGCTCTCACTGGAAGCAGGGCATGTCCAATTCAGTGTAAAATTAGCAGGGGAAACACCTGACTAGCTGTAGGTACAGGACACACAGAAGGCAGGGGCTGAGGCTGGGATACAGATTCTGCGTCTGGGAGGGAGGGGGAAGCAAGAAAACTAGAGGTGAAGAAGTCACTAGGAGATGAATGAGCAAAGGAGGTGAGCAGAAGGCAGAGTAGCCTCTGAAGAGATTATGGACAAGAAGAGGTCAGGTCCACGTACAATAGCCCCTGGAACCTGAGAGCAACAGAAAAGACTGGTTCCTGAAAGAGACCGAAGCAAGTGTTGGAACTAGAGATGCTGAGCAGATTCTGGAAGGAGAGATGAGAAGTGGAGAGCAAGCTGAGAGGTCTCAACCTCCTGCAGTACCCAAATCCTACACTGTGATGGCAGAGTCGGGGCCAGAGAGAAGGGAGGGGACCCTCATGGGTTGCAGGAATCACCTGCCCTAAGCAGCGGAAGTGAAAACATCTCTCCGGGTGGGTAGTGCTGCCACAGATGTGGCTGGAAATCATGGCTGGGTCTCTCTGGAATGTTCCAATGTACCTAGCTCTGAAAGGTTCCCACCTTGCCCCCATCAGGCCTCAGCTGACACGTCACTTCCTCTTGGGGGCCTTCTCCAAATGCCCCATGTGGGTTCTGTGACCTGGGTCCTCCCACAGTATCCTGTAGTCTCACCCACAGTGCCTGGGGCATTGGGTTTGGAGTCTGTCTTCAGCACTAGACACCAGGCCGCATGGCAAGGACATTGTGTGTATTATACAGCGGGGGATCGCTGGGGCATTAAGTGTCTGTGGAGGGAGGCAAAAAACGGAGGGAGGTAACCGTGGACACAGAATGCAGCCCATGTCTTCAAGACCATTCCACAAGTTGCCTTTCAACAGGAGTCTCCTTACTTCTCCTCCATCCCTGCCTGCTCTGTGGCCTCGACCCCATAAGCCCCCTTGGGTCTCACCTCCATTCCTATCCACTTAGTCATTACCGAGCACCCGAGTGCTATGCTTTCTCTTGCGACACTTTGAAGGGACCCTCAAGATCAGGCCTATTGATCTTCCCCATAGCAGGAGGTGAGGGTCATTAGCCTCTCACCTGAGATCCAGCTGCTCCACCCTGCATGACCCTAACAGCTGTATGTACTTCTGCCCCAGGACATGCTGGATCATCTAGAGTGTGGGAGCTTAACGGAGGGGGGACTCCATCTGTGGAGTTGTCATTTATGTTGGGGTGAGACTTTTTGGTGATCAGAAGCTTTGGGGTCACCCACACGCCTGCCAGCA